TTATGTTAAAGTTATTAGTATGACTGACCACATTTCTCATAATTTAATTTATAATTAGCAGTCATAGCAAAACAAAATTTCACACCATTGAGGCAGCTCATGCAATGGCACTGAAACCAATCAATGTTCATCTGACTTTCACTGGGTCCAGGAAAAGATGTGCTTGATCCCTATCTCTTCTGCAAGCAGTATCAGTTCAGTATCAGAACTGTGAAACTAGTATCACACACAGAAATGGCTAATGCACTTGAGAAGGGAAAGCATAATTTCTCTGCAATATACTTAATCTTTCTCTCTATGAAGCTTCACATTCGCAAGACAGTGATATGAAGGTTTAAACGGCTCCTGGTAAAGTTAATTAAAATACAGAAATATAATTACTAATATCTGAACTATGTGGCTTCATTTGGATTGTTAATGGCATGGGCACAAGGGCAGTGAGGCACAGAAGGGAAACTGATAGCCCACAACAGATCACGGGTCACATGTGGCTCATCAAACAGTTGATGTGAGCTTAAATTTGAAGTGTGGAAAAATACTGGAGGAACCTATTAAGTTAATCAGAGAGCAGCACACAGCTGACTGAAAACTTCCTGGAACGTGCCAGCAGTGCTCCACCAGCTTGGGAACAGCTATCCACTCAATTTGTATCAGGTAGTTGTAACAGAGCTTCCACACTTGGACTACAGAATGGGCGATGAGGAAAAAACCAGAGATGTTTTCAGCCTTAACAGGTGTGGCAAATGCTTTTGGAGCACACCCCAGATGTAGATGATCTTGACAAACTAGGGAAGAATCACTAGGTGAAAAATCTAGTGTACGACTAGAAAATAAGGACATCTAGAACACCGGAGAACTAGCCCACCCCAGATCCAGGCTGCCCAATGCAACAAGATCTTCACAAACTGGGAAAGCAATATGAAGAAAAATCTAGCTGACTGAGGTAGCTTGATTTCAGACAATGTTATCTAACCAGTTTTAAACTGAATTATTAAAGAAAAAAATAAAAATAAAAATAAAAATGGAAGAGTTCTGTAGACAGCATAGAGAGTTGCAAGAATTCTAGAAATCCTAGTCTTTGCCTAGTGTAGGGAAAAAGTCGGGGTGAACACACCCAGTGAGCACCTGCTTGCCATGTCCACCAGGAGAGGGCAACGGTCTGATTTGGCAAATGAATATTGCAAAGGAAGTTTGCAAAGAAATACCAATTCCTACCCCCTTCCCTCCCAGCCAAACTAAGGACAATTACAGGTAATTGCTCAACACACATACTTTAAACCCAGGTTAAACAGATGTCTCTTAACTTAAAGTGTTTTAGTGGAAGGGTTGCTAAACCAACCATTTAGTAAGGTCCTGGTGCCTTTAGGACTGCTTCAGTTACTGAAGGTACAAATAGTAATTATTTTTCAGATTCTCTGGAGAAAGAAAATCAAGAAGTTGGACAGTACAACACAGCAGCAATAAACACAGTAATTAAATTCACAATCTCCTTCAGTGACATTCACAATGACAAGGCAGCAGACTGTATGCCTGAAATGGCATCTTCCTTCTTCTATCTACACAAACAATTACACCATGACCACAGACTCCTAATTGGCAATGACCTGTTTCTTAAATAACTAATGCAAATTTAATGGCCAAATGCATCTGACTTTTTCAGAATCACTGAGAAATATCATTTTGTAGATGAGAGATCAAAATCATGCTATCTACTAAACAGAAGTTTCTCTGGTAACAAAGTTAAATATTTCCAAAACAATTCTCTCTAAATACGTGTAGTACAATTTATTGGCGGTGTTTTCAAATTAGACAAAATAAGTACCAGTGCTACAGTTGGATACTGTTGTGCACAACACAGGGGATATAATATGGAAAAATGGAGTGTGTATATCAGTAACAGTAAAATAGGAATGATACTGCTGTGATTCGTCAACCTAAGATTTCTGACTAGCATTTACAATGGGCTTGATGCTAAAACCCTCAGACCTTTCTTTGAAAAGTGTGTCTGAAATACTCTGAAGTATGCTTTTTATAAATTGCACAACATGTTAAAAAACACACTGCCCTCACAAGACCTTAAGGCAGAAAACTTTCAGTTACTGTAAAATCCAGCTAACACACGTAAAACCATATCAAGAACAAAAGTAGCAAAACATTTAGAAGTTTTCACTGATACCACATTTGTGAGTGGGACATCTTGATTTTTTTTAAAAAAATAGGTTTTTTTAAAAAAAATTGGTACATAAATGAGTATCACCTGCAGCGCTCCTGTTCTCTGAAGAATCAGGTTCTAGAAAGGTACCACCTGGCACCAAAAAAGCTCATGAAGCTTTGCACTGGTGTGTAAGTGGTTTGAAACATGGTAACCCAGCATGAGAACACGGCGGCTTCTGGACTATGCTCTAGTCCAGAACACAACCTCTTTTCCAGAATAATTCAGTCAATAATTCAGTCAAGTAAGTCACCGAATTTTGTATTATGTATTGCTAAAATCACCCACTTCAATGAGATTAAGAACAACTCCCTGAAATACTCACAGAAGCAAGAAAATTGGTCCAAGTGACACAATCACTCTCTCATTCTCCCTCCACCCACACTGAAGGATGCCCTTCCTTATGAGCTAAAAATTCTGCATAGAGACCATGATCTACAGAAGATAGGAGCCAAAACACTAGGCATTGATCCAACTTGTGGATCTAAACTAAATTCTACTGTAAGAATATAACTTCCCTCCCTAACAGGTGATACCAGGTACCTGTCCAGTAAAACAGTGAGGGTCATATTAATACTTCAGATAAACCACCCAGAGAAGCAAAGTGATCACTCTCAGATTCTCAAGACATTCAGATGGGTGAAATGTCCAAAACTAAATCTTACCAGGCTTATTATCAGAAAGCACTTCTAGACCTGAATGCAGCTTAAGGTCTTCCAAGATAAAAGTGCTTCAGCTGGTGACATATCACCTGGCAGCTGTCCATCCATCCTGTTCCTCCTCCCTTGGCAGGGAGGAACAATAGGAAAAGGAAACAACAATGCCTTTGATATAACACATCTGGAAAAAATCTCCCTCTAGATACAGACTGGCATTCCAAATGACCACCCTGAATGGCAAAACCTTACATGCCTTTGTGGGCAGAAAAATCAAAGCTGGATAAATAAGAAAAACAAAAAATGACTGTGTTTATTCAAGATAATAGATAGTGAAAAAAGCTTCACTGGTTCACACCTTAAAAGGTGCTGGTCATCTCCTCAGACTGCCAGCCAGAGGAGGTTACTGAGAATGCAAAGCTTAAGATTTCTCTTGCTGCTGAAGTAACTAAAAATGTAAAATTATCTGACATTTCTTTAGCCAAAATCACTCCCCATTCAAGTATAACAAGTTAGCATCAAGATCCTTTCATCATCAGGCTACAAAAACTGGGGTTTGTTCCATATCCTTGTAAGGGTTAAAACCACCATAGTGTTGCCCTTACTGCTGCAAATGGCTCCCACTGGCAGATCACAGAGAGCAAAATCTGTTACAAGATAAGAAACTATTTCTGAATAACCAGTTTTTCAGCAATGTAGATTTCCATGCAGAAAAACCATGGCATGTGTGAGAGAAAGGGCAGCAGATAATGAGATTTTGCTGATGTTTCATGATCAGAAGGACAAGTCAGGCACAAGTGAGAGAGAGCACTTGATTCTCTTGTAAGGGCAAGATGTGATGCACAGGTTGGTCTGTCTGCTACCACTACCCTGCATCAATGCTTGTCTGTGTCCTTTTCCTGCTCTCAGTCCCTCAGGAGCTGCTCCAGTCCTATCTGTCTGGCCTGAGCAGCCCAATACGTCACCCCGTCTACCAGCAACAGAAGTGCAGCATATCCTGAAATCAGGGCACGCGGTCAAACATGCCCAGTCAGGAGGCACACTTGTCTGAAGGGAATAGGGTTACCAGGCCACAGATTTCAGAATCTAGGTGGTAGGGATGATCCATTATTCCTCAAAGAAAGAAAAAGCAGGTGAGTATCTCTCATCACTTCCCTCTCAGCATAATGGTATCACCTTCCACCAGGCTCAGACACTGGCAGAAGCAGCATGTAATGTATATAGCTGTTGCCAAAATACATCACAGGGCTGTACAGCAATTGTGCTTGCTGCAGCAGCCCATCTGCTCTGTTCCCTCTGTAGCACGGTAACACACATGCTATGCCCACGCTGCTGCGGAGCTTACCGGGGCATGGCAGCCCCAGCCAGGCTGACAACCTCGCCCTGCCCACAGAATTAAACCAGCTGAGGAATGGGCATTTCTCCTCCTTTTACAGCAAGCAGCATACATAAAAATACATTAGAAGACTGACACAGATGAAAGGAAAACCTAAAATGTGTCTATTGATGATGTGCGGCATCTATGATGTCATGCACATATAGCATTATACAGGCAATTCTGCTTAATTGTTCATTTCCTACATAATCTGTTTAATTTAGCTGCACTGAATGACATGCATATTGTAATCTAACATCAAGCACTGCCTCCCATTCACTCCCCACACAGCTACAAACACAGAACATTCACACAACTAGTGCTCTGGTACTGTACATGACTGAACACAAAACACATTCAAGACAACCAGCAATCCTCCCCCAGCCCAGGCACACAAGCCAGCCCTTAGAATTAGCACCTACAGAAAGCACACAAAGAACATACCCCACAAACAACATCTCTACCATCTCCCTCCAGTAAATCCCCTCAAATTCAAGCAGAGGTGACGGAGAAGGCAGCACAGGCAAGCAGCACATACAGCCCCATCCCTCAGCACCCCACCATCAGCTCCATCATGCTGACAGAATTATACATGCTACTGTGTGGAATATAAAACATCCCACCACTGCAAACAGATGTTGGCACATACACACACATGCACATTCCTTCCTGCACTGCTATTTACCCCAGAAAACCTGCTGCACACTATCAACACAGAAATAAATTCTTACATACACCTCCCCAGAATTTGGCTAACCTGTGTGTCAAATCCATTTTCTACTGAGCTACTCTTCCTTGCTGGGAGGCCATCTCCTGTGTTTTCTTGTCCACTGGAAGATTTGAGAGGAATCTGGCTGGAATACAATGGCTTCGTTACCTCCACCTTGCTCCCAAACTTCAGGTAACAGGGCTGTGGGATGGTCCTGGCCGTTGGGACATGCAGGATTGGAGCAGCGCTGTGTACGGGTTTAGGTAGTCCCGATTTCATTTTGGAGGCCACCAGGATGGCTGGCATTTTCTCTTTCTGCTTTCCTAACACGTTTCTGTCAGCAGCAGCAACAGCAGACAGCAGGCAGGGAGAGAGAAAATGACACGTTGGGGAAGCTGTTCTACTCTAAAGCAGCCTGGTTACTGCAGAGATCTCCAAAATCAGCTTAGATTTTAAAATCAACAATAAAACCAATTTTTAAAAAAACTTTAAAAAAAGGGAAAGGAAAAAAGAAAAAAAGAAAGAGAGAAAACCACACCAGTTTCAGTCTAAAATATCTCCCAGCTTTATGCCAGCCTTCCACCTGTTTCCTCTGATTTTATTTTCAGTTCTTTACTACTGTCCTCTTTCGTATTTCTGCTATGTAACTTGCTCCTTCCTTTCTCTGACTCCTGAAATTTTCTTGCCTGGAAATGAGAGACTTTCACTCCATTATCTTGTCACTGCATCTCCAAAATGAGGCAGCCTTTGGGGAAAGAAAAAAAAAAGGAAAAAAAAAAAAAAAAAAAAAAAAAAAAAAGAAGAAGAACCTGCTGCATATGCTTCCCCTTCCGTACACACTAGAGTGAGCGAGCAGGATTTCCAGTTTAAGATGTCTTTCTTCGGTCTTAGCCAAGAAGCAGATGTAGCTCAGTGTGTTAATGACTGATGCCCTTGGATACAAGCCTTAGAGACTCAAGCTTCTTAAGCCTAAATAGCTGTGAACAGGACAACGATGCCGGAGCAGAAGGAGAAATGTCCACTGACAGCAATTTTTAAATCAAAATATGCCAGTAACCACGAAATTTCCCGGCTCCCCCAGTGCTAAGCATAAAAACCTGGAGGGGGTGAGGAAAAAGAAAAATTATAAAGAAAAGCGATTCAGCTGCGAGAGGGACGAGAAAGCAGCCGGCAGCTCACGTTCCCTCCCGCAGTGGAGCGGGCTCCCGCCCGGCGCTGCTCGGCGCATCCCGGGGGGG